AATGAAAAGGAAGTGGAAGGGAAGGAGCACAGGCCTTGCTTGAAAGTTGAATTTGGAAACAGATGTGGAGGTTGTTGTGAGCGGGTGAATGTATAGGTTTCAGATGTCCAATAAAAAATTTGCTGCCAAATTAAGGCTGGTAAGCTTACGTTGCAACACCTAAAATCTCACCTAGACAAAAAACCCTTTACTTATGCATAACTGTGAGCTTCGCAGTTAACAGGCGAGTACATATTGTGCGGTCAAGCCATGTTTTGATTTGAGCTTCTTCGATTTGCGTGTACACGAGTACATATGACACGGGCGTGCATGACAGCTAAGATGAAATCTTTAGATCATACAAGGCGCATACATTGTCCCTGTGATTTCCAGCTTCGTTTCTTGTCTGGTTCCTGAAATCATTTTTCTCTGAAACAGAAGCACTGTTTATAGCCAATTTTTATGTGTTTTTTGCAGCTATGCAATGCGGAAGACGCATATTGACGAGGGGTTGTCTGTGTGTGTGTGTGTTTGTGTGTGTGTGTTTGTGTGTGTGTGTTTGTGTCTGTATGCCCGTCTGTACCGATTTTTCATCTCGAGACCTACGAAAGCTGTAGGGCTGAATTTTTGGGAAATTAATCTACATGCATGTGTGGACCCCCAACCCCAAAATGGGCGGTCTTACCTGCGTGGCACCTACGTACGGGCCCGTGAAAGTTTTTTTGGGTAAATTAGAACCAGGAAAGCTAGAAAGCTGAAATTTTAAACGAATGCTTCCTGACAGTCCTGGCGGCCAGTCTAATTTCTTTTAGCTAGAAGCATTTGCCGAAAAACCGGTGCCGGTAGCAGCAAAAACTGCGTGGAACTATGCAAAAAACGCATCTTCGCACCGGCAGTCGGTGCGCTGGCCAGTTATTTCTTTTAAGTAGTTTTTGAGCGTGAAATTTAGTCCACGATGAATGTTTTTAGTTGAGAAGGGGTGGAGAGGGAGCAGGAAGAATTGGACCTACTCGACGACGATCTGAAATCCCGCTATCGATGGAAGGCCTGAAATCCCACTGCATTACAGTGTGGCACGGGGAGGTGGAGGGCGGGGATCTTTGTCGACAGTGAAATGTTTATTTTTGGAGCATGGATATGAGATCAAACATTGAGGGACCTGGGAACATTTTAAGTAAACATTTAAACTGAGAGGCCCGGGCAATCCTCTCTCACTGTGGGTATTTATAATTGGAGTTGAACGTTCACAAAAAAGGCCAAGATTGTTGCCCTCTGTGGTGCTTCCTTGATGGCGGGCTTTTTTACACGGATATCGTCATTAATTCGGTTCATTTTAATTGCTTTTGACTCTATTTTTGGCCCTCGCTTTGCGCCAAACTTCAAATTTCTGTCTATGACTTATCGTGAGCGTGTTTTCACTGGTTCTTGCAGAATTCGTTGAACGAATTATGTGGATTGGCTTCAAGCACCGATGACGACCACTACCACTACAGCGAGCGCGCATAATCGTACGAAACTTCGTTCCGCACAGCACGAAAACGATGAGGTTCCACCGTTATTATTGCTGATCAAATAGCTACACTTTCTAGCTTTTCTGATTCCCCAAATCATTTCTCACCGAAAATGTTTTCCGCTTGTTAATGCCTGAGAAAAACAGGGCAGTAACAGTAATTTTGCGTCTAAGAATTTAACTATAACGTGGGCTAAGTTGCCGAAATTTCAGCTTCGTAACTTTCCCATTCGATTTATATGTACCACTTCTTCGGAATTCGTCCAAATGCTAGTTCATTTTCTCACGAAATGATGTTTACAGCTTACAACAGTACGAACGGCGACATCGTTGGCGACCCGAGGTACGAAATTTCCGGCTTCATCAACGCCTGTGCTGCAGAATACTCCGAAGCACGACTTCTCTCGCAATGCGAACAGGAAGGAGGGCGTCGATTTGAGCAACTTGATGTCTGACTCAATTGAATACCTGAAGAAGATGCTCGGATTGACGCCGGACTGCCTAAATGGAGGCTTGAAAACACTGCGAGGTAAGATGCAACTCCATGTTGGCCTTGCAAACGAAAAAACAAAAAAACATTAACGATTCTATAGACGAATCGGCCTGAGGTAATATGCAGAAATTATTACAGCCTGAGAGGGGTGAAAGTAAATTTCTTGAATAGCAATAATTTTGTTATATAGTTCACGTTTGCCAAAATTCGCCGATACACTTCACGACTATCTTTTGACCGCTGAAGTTACTGATGCGGCGCCTCGTGGTAATTTTTAGTTGTCCTGACTCTTGGCTTTATTCCCAGGCATCGCGAATAAAATCCGTTTTGCAGAGAAATAAGCTGAGCGGATATTGAATTGCTTATTTTTACTATTTTTGGATCCTTCGATTTAGTGCCAGCCGCTGTCCTGCAAGTCTAGAATCTATATGTATAATCTACACGATTACCTGAAGCTCTAGTTACGCTGCTATTACAGATAGTGTAATTTTTATGCGTTTTTGCCATACAACACTAAAACGCTGCAACAGGTAGCAAACGCATATTGCTACGACCTTGTCTGTGTGTATGTTTGTTTGGTATTTCTATTCGGCAACCACAGAAGCTTTGATGCCGAAGTTTTGCCAGTGTATTCCCCGGCCAAGTGCGACCCCAGAAACATAATATCAGCTGACACGCACGACTGCGCCTCATGTACGGACGCGTGAAAGTTTTGACGGGAAAAATGCTAGCTCGGGAACGAGAAAAGCTAGAAAACTAACCTTGGGGTAGTGTTCCATACTCATTTACCACCAAGAGACTTCAAATTCATCTCTTCTCATGAGGTCTTTTTCGCGACTTTCTGTTTGTCGGATCGCTGAAACCGACATCGACAACTGACACACCACATAGCTGCAAAATTAACTTCTTGAACGTCGAGGACCAGTATATCAGAAATTCTAGTTACTGGGATTCCTTGCGATTTTGCTACAGCATGAAATAGTATGAAAACGCATGATCACGCGGCCCGACTGGTGCGTTCTGGCTGGATTCAAATTTTTGTCGTTTTTTGGACGATTGTTCGCAACATTCAGTTGTGATTGGTTATTTGCCATCGGCTAAGCAAAATGGGATTATTTTGCGAGCTTTGGCCGTTAGAAATTTGAGATATCAAGTTCCTCAAATATTTCATGCTCTGTGGTAAAAATCAGTTTTTTTATTTAATCAGTTGCAGGCGAATGTGTTTGCCCGAAATTTTATAGAGGCGAACTGTGCGAAGAGATTGTTTGCATCAACAATGGCACACTTATCAAAGTACCGAACCTTGTTCCGGCACGATATGCTTGCAAGTAAGAGCGATTTTATGTTGTCCAC